GGCGACTGGGCGCGCCTGCTGGAGCAGATGGGCGCGCTGGCCATGCGTGGCAGCCGGCGCGAGCGCGAGCTGGAGCGGCGCGAGGCGGCCGTGGCGCGGGCGAGCGCGCCCTGGAGCGCGGGCGCCGGGCGCTGCGGGAGGCGGAGCGAGCCGTGGCCCGGCGAGCCGGGAGCTGCAGGCCGAGCGCGAGGCTGCGGGCGCGGCTGCTGAGCTGAGCGCGCCGAGCGCGGGACCGCGGCGCTGCCCGGGGAGCCCCAGGCGGGCGGCAGGGGCGGCTGCGGCCCGGTGGGATCCTGGCCCGTGAGGACAGCAAAGGGAGCTGCTGGGCAGCGCGAGTGAGGACGGCGGGGTGGACCCCACTTCCCAGCGCCGAGCTCGGGTAGGGGCGCCTCGTCCCCTCGCCACGCTGCCCACCGACGCCAGGTGCGCCCGGTCTCAGCCCCGCGGCGGCGCCCTGGCCCGCGCAGGTGCGGCGCATTCCCCTCCCGCCTCGCGCCGGACGTGGCCACCCCGGTGCGGCCTCCCTTCTCGCCGGAGCTCAGCCCCCGCCACGGGACAGGACTTGGGGCGCGGGGGCCCGAGGCGGCCGCCTGCCCCGGGATCCCACAGGCCGAGGACGCTGGCCGCCTCCCCTTCCTCGAGCGGGACGCGCTCCGTCGCGTGCCCGGTCCACACTGGCTCCCAGGCAGCTTTCTCCCCAATCCTGGAAACTGGGGAGCTCGGGGTCACCACGTAGACTGAGCCGCCGCCAGGACGGCCGCGCGGCGGTCACGCCCTGCGAGGCCCACCCCGCCGACTCCCCTGCGCCACCTCCACTGGCTCCGACTTCATGCCCATTCCCCGAGCACAGGCCCCGGCCTTCGAGCGCCCGTCAGGCCCCGCGTCTGTGGCCGGAACCGAGTGGAGTGTGACACGCACGCCCCCAGTGCCCACCTGCACAGCAGCGCCCCCTGCAGGGCAGGCGCTCCGTGCCCTGGTGTAGGGCAGGAGACCGCACAGGGCGGGCGCTTCCCAGCCCGCCCGCTGCGGCGCCCGGCCTCCAGGGACCCCTGTCCATGCCCCATGCCAGGGACTCAGGACGCCGAGGTCACTCGGCTGACCTGCCCCCGCCTCCCCTCCGGGCCATACAGATTGGCCCAGGCGGAAGACGTGCCCCCGCCAATGCTGATCGCCGCATGTTTACCATGGACCATGGACGGCCAGCACGCAGGCCTGACCCGCTCCCCGCACCCCTTCGGCCTCCCTCGCTGTGTCTGGGGCGGGCTAGGGTCCTCCCACCTCCAGGGCACACGCGCCCCTCCTCTCACAGCCCCTGCGCCCACCAGCTCCTCAGCCAGCACCAGACACAGACCCGAACCCGCGGAGCCTGCTGCAGCCTGCTTCTCCGCCATTGTTGATTCAATTCACGCTCACTGATTGCGAGTAAAAGACCAGCCCCGAGGGACTGGCCGCTCCGTGGGGAAAGCGCCCTGTGTGGGCGGCACCGACTACCGCGGTGAGCCCCGCCCAGCTTTCATCGCAGGAGCCTGTGCTGCCCCCACCCCAAAGGAGAGGCGCAAGACCCCCACCCACCCGGGGCAGAGGTGGGTTCTGAGGCCCCAGCCCCCGGGACCGCCCACCCCGTCTGTCCCCCTGCCACCCTCCCGGCCAGCAGGGCAGACACCGGGCAAGGCTGAGGTGGGGCGCCCACGCTGGGTGCGCCGGGAAGGTCCGGCGGGAGTGCAGCTGACCAAGCCTGCGATGGCTTCCAGCCGCCCATGGCAGGTGTCACAACCTTCCCACAGCCGCCCCGCACCTGTAACGTGGGCCTAATGCAGACCTGAGGGGGTGGTGAGCACAGCCTGCTTAGGTGACTCCGACAGTGAACGGAGCACCTGTGATGTCAGCCTCACACCGCTCTGGGGAAGCCGAGAGCCACGCAAGGGGACCTCAGGGACCCGGGATGGCCACAGTGGAACCTGTGTCGCCGGCCCGCCCCCCAGCAGCTCGGCTTGCTCAGTGAGCCTGCAGGGAACCCGGGATGGCCACAGTGGAACCTGTGTTGCCGGCCTGCCCCCCAGCAGGTCTCTCTCCCAGCTCCCACAACTGCACCAAGCCCCACCCTGCCTTCTCTTCTCTGTCTAGAGAAGGTGAGCCAGGCACCGAGCAGGCACGAGGAAGCAAAGTCCCGTCCCCTGGCAGCTGCATTCAGAGAGACGGATCCCACTCATGGCACTAATATATAATATATAATACATATAACTAATGCAGAACTACAAATCACGCTCAGTGAAAGAAAAATGGTTTTTCAGGAATGTCGCTGAGAGGCAGCTGACCAGCCTGAGGGATGAGAGCCCCAGAACTAACTCTCAGAGCAGACGCCGCATCAGCACCAACTACGGAGGACGTGCGGGGAGAGTACAGAGACAGGCCCTGTGGTGAGGGCCAGGCACAGCACACCAGAGCAGAGGCCAGCTGGCCGCGGCCCCGACAACGAGTGGGAGCCTCACGGCCACGGCCCAGACAACGAGCGGGAGCCCACACGGCCACGGCCCAGAGAGGAGCGGGAGCCCACACGGGCACGGCCCAGAGAGGAGCGGGAGCCCACACGGCCACAGCCCAGAGAGGAGCGGGAGCCCACACGGCCACAACCCCGACAACGAGCGGGAGCCCACACGGCCACGGTCCAGAGAGGAGCGGGAGCCCACACGGGCATGGCCTGGAGAATGAGTGGGAGCCTGCACAGGCCCGGAGTTTTCTGTCTCAGATAAATGGGAGCCGCGAGGCCCCCCGGCCGGCAGAGGCTGCTCCTAGGCTCCTGGCTCGCACAGACGTGTATCACCATGCTGAGGAGGTGAACACCAGGCCTGGAGGAGAGCGCGGGCTAACCCTGGATAAGCAGCTTTAATTTAAATGATTGTGAAAGGACTGGCATTGTGGCTTAGCAGGTAAAGCAGCCCCTGCGATGCCTGCATCCCATCTGGGTGTCAGTTCAAGTCCCGGCTGCTCCACTTCCAATCCAGCTCCCCTGCTGTGGCCTGGGGAAAGCAGGTGGAAAGATGCCCCAAGTGCTTGGGGCCCCTGCAACCCATGCAGGAGACACCAGATGGAGGCTCCTGGCCACTGCAAGCCATCCGCTGAGTGGAACCAGTGGAGGCAAGAGTTCTGTCTGTTCCCTCTCTAATAACCTACAACAAGAAGGTGACTGGACACTCGATACCACGTTTCTGAGCTCAAGCGTCCTGACACAGCCGCGTTCCCAGGCTTAGGACGGTCCACACAACGGCACAGCAGAGCAAGGGCACGGCCTGAGGCTGGGCCCCACGGTGCCGCACCTCCGCCAGATCCCACCGCATCAGTGTACACACACACAGGCCACCGTCCATCTGTTACTCCTTGGATAGCCAACAGTTTTGATACGGACTGCAATGCTTATAAAATACAAACAGGACCATTTTCAACATTCTGTTCTGACCACCGCTTTTGAAAATGGGCAACATAGCGACCACGCAGGGCCCCCCAGGCAGGGAGGGGGAGCCTGCACTCGCCCCGCCCTGCCGCTCTGCTCATGGAGCTCATGGAGCCCAGCCCCAAGCCCAGCCCCAAGCCCAGCCCCAGCCCCAGCCCCAGGAAGTGGCTCATGCCTGGCTGAGGCTGGCTGGGACCCTCCAGGGGCAGCTGCGCCTTCTGGTCTGGCTAAGGAGCCTAGAGAAGCCACGGTGAGAACCGCGCAGGCCCCGGCTTCCTGAAGCAGACCCAACCCTGCGCTCCCTGCCTGGTGACGAGGATGGCGTGCCGGGGGTTCCAGGGAGCTAAGTCCACACTGGGACAGCAGCAGAGAGCCTGGCCTGAACCATACACACACGCACTGCCGCCTTCGCAGGAAGCCTGGCACAGAGCAGGCGGGCTGCGACCAAGGCGTGCCGGCAGCTAGCCGAGCGTGTACACAGTGCAGGGCCCAGAAGCGCTCGCAGGCCCCCAGCCCCGCTGCTCCCTAGGGGGCCGTCCTCTGGGCACCCCACCTCCTGGAGCTCTCTGCCCCTTCTGCCTGCCCTGGAAATGTGCCGCGTCAACAAGCACATTGTGCACAAGCTGGGAGATGTCTCACATGCGCAAGCTCTCACGCTCCGTAAGCCCACGAATAAAAATGACCTCAGAAGCGAAACTTCCAGAAGCAGAGAGAAGTTTCCTTTCACGGCCGAGGGCTCCTCAGGCCACGCAACACCAGCAAGTTTCCGCGGCTTTGCTCTGGTGTGCTGGGCTCAGCTTGGTAGCTTCTCTTATGAAGTGCTAGAACTCCTAAAATTCACCAGCTTGCAGCTCCGCTTACCTCTTAAACTCTTGAAACACCAGCTTTAAGCGATTTCACGCATAATCCGAACTGTGCACCGTCCACGTGTATGCCTCGAAACCCACAGCAGCTCACGTGTGCTGCTCCTGCTGTTTCCAGGGGCTCCACCCCATCCGCCTGCCTGCTCCTCAGACAGACCCTGGGGCAACGGCGCTCACCGGAGCAGACCCATGCCACGCCCGGCGCCCACCAGGCTCAGCAGTGCAAATTCCCACACTGCAATTCTTCATCACCACCTGCAGGTCTTCCATTTCCTTAACCAAAGAAAACGGAACAGTTTCCCCCAACGGAACAAAGGGCAGCGTCACAGCCAGCCACACCAGCTGTCACCGGCCTGACGGTAGGACCGCCAGGGCCAGGCCCCGTCTCGTGGCCACACACCTGCGACAGCCAGCAGTACCACTCCCAGGACACACCCGCCACCATCCATGTCCCGGGCACGTGTGGATGGCTCTGACGGTGCAGCGCGGTGCAGGAGCCTGTTCCCCGGGTCCAGCTCTCCGCTCAGCACGCCTCCCTGTGTGCCGGCACCACTCAGACAGGGTCCCGCGTCCCCAGTGCAGAGGTCCCTTTCTTCCCAGCAAAGGGACCTGCGCTCACTCTCACTGCACAGGAGCGCAGCCAGAACCTGCAGACCAGTGAACATGCAAAGTCACAGCCAACAAACCACTCAACGTTGTCATTTTTTATTGCATTTGTCAACACTCCATCACTATTGTGAGGCTGAGGCTAGGAAACCCTGGCACTGCAGACCTGGTATCCCTAGCAAACTCCACTGCCCGCAATGGTACTGAACACAACCCCAACAGCCAGCACGCCGCGCTGCTTCCACTGTTCTCACCTGGAACCTCAGCTGCTACGGAACTAACAAGCGTGAGTGCGGAACACAGAACACACATCCAGATTCTTCACAGAAGAAATGAGTGGCCGTGGGATCTCCCACCAGCGTCAGCTGTGCACGAGCTCTGGGCTGCTCCCCCCAAATCGCACCATCGCCCACATCTTCTCAACGTCCTCTAAGTGCGTGAACAGGGATGCGTGGAGGCCAACACTGCTCCAGTGAACCCTGGATTTGTCCCCTGCTGCTGTGCATCGCCGGGACAAGGACAAGATGCAGCTCATGAAGCCGCGCACTGGTGTTGTGCCGACCAGACCAAGTAACACAGCCTGCGGCCACTCTGCCCGTGAACTTTAGTCCGCTCAGCACACGCCCTGATCCAGTCCCTGTAACTGCTTTATTACAGGCCTACACGTGGGCGGCAGCTGTGACACGGGTCCCTGTGCCGCTGACCTGTCGAGACGCAGTTTCGCGTGCGCGGAGACTTCCAAGCTCCCGGCTGCGTTGCGACTGGCTTCACTCTGCAGCCCCTTTCACCCAAGGCGCGCTGCCCGGCGCATCTCGGGGCGGCCTGGCTTCCGGGAAGTTCTCGGCAAACCTCTCTCGTGCTTTGTCCCAGTTCTTTCTGCTCTTGTTCTGGAGGAGGGGAACCTCTTCAATGGAGGACGGCTTGCCGGTCCCCAAGCCCGCGTGCGCCTGCCGAAGCTGCAGCTGGATCTGTTGAGAGGGCTTATTTTAGGGTCTGAACACAGTGAGTGTGCGGCGGCCACACTGGCACGCGCATCTTCACTCATCACACACTGAGGCAGACAAAAAAACGCCGAACCGCACCACAGGCACACAGGAACGCACGCACCGCCACACGGACGTCAACTCCAGTGCCCCCGTCCTGCTGTCACGGCGAACAGCTGCTCCTGACCCAGCGCCTGCACGTGCAGGGGGCGCCAGGCACGAGCAGGGACGCCCTGAGTCCCCGTCTGGTTTTCACTCGAGTGGGGAACACAGGAGTCAGACAGAGAGCCTGACTTGTTTCCGTGGCAGGAGGGCACTTCCTGTTACTCGGGCCTGATGGGAGGCACCACGCGCACACGTTCTCGGAGTTCCTGTTTCCACACAGGACAGCTGAGGTCCAATGGCATCTACACCACACGGCTGTGAATGGCAGAGCCCACGTGCTGAGCGCGTCTGACCACGCCAGCTGCACTCTGCACAGTACCACAGTGGAAGAGGCAAAGCTGCGTGGGGCTCACACCCACCGCCCATCTCTCAGGTGGCACAGGTTCTGCAGGCAGGCGGCTGTGAGGTGTGTGAAAGACAACCTGAATCGCTCACAATTAAGCCAGACACTATTCTCTGGACATGCTAAACCCAAGGGACTCCCAGCCAGCACAGAATCTCCTGTCTAGCAGGACACTGGCTGTATCTGCAGTATGCTAGACCAGGCCCAGAAAGAAAGGCACTGAGAACAATGAGCCGGAAGAACGTCTGGCTCAGGACACAGTGCCCATCACCCCCGCCCCGAGGCAGGAGAAGACCGGGAGAGGCTTCGCCTCGAATGCGGGAGACAGAGCACAGACACACACGCACGTGTGGATCGGGTCTCACTCGGGCACGCCAGCAGTACCGAGGGCAGCACGGGCACTGCTGGGGCCGCAGGGCCGCCTGCTTGCGAGGAGACGCGGCCTTACCGGAGCGCGCACGCCGCCGCCGTCCTTTCCCCAGACCCTCGCCTCTCTTCCAGCCCATCTTCTCCAACATCTTCCGGCCTTTGTTGCTCTCTGTGATTTCACTAGAAGGGAAGACGGAGGCGCACATTTGTAAGTTCGGTGAATTAAAAATGATCAGTCCGACCAAAATGGTTTGGCATTACCTAATAAAGCTGCAGATGTCAAAAACTCACTCTACGAATGCTATGTACACAAAACGGCTAAAGGTTTCACTCCTACAATACGAAGTATGTAAACCAACTGTTTATAGGCATAGCAAATCTGCCATCCGTGCCCTGTTCCCGTGCATAGGTGCGTCTATCCACAGGTCAGCGTTGCGCAGGAGAAAAACAAACCGCATCCGACAGGGACGCGAGACAAGAAGGGCAGACACAACACACAGCGGACTGCTCACTGAGCACCTCGGAGACAAGAAGGGCAGACACAACACACAGCGGACTGCTCACTGAGCACCTCGGAGACAAGAAGGGCAGACACAACACACAGCGGACTGCTCACTGAGCACCTCAGAATAAGGGAAACGACTCCACTGCTGTCCAGAGGGGCGTCGCCTCCGCAGAGAGGCGGGAGTCGGGGGACCCCCGAGGGTGGGCTTCCAGGCGACTGGGAATTTCCACTCCTGTCCAAGAAACGCACGTTCTGCCAACCTTAGGTGTCACTGAGCTACACGCTGACGGCTTGTGCGCTTTTCTGACGAACGTTATGCATCAGGGAAACGGGTAAAATAAAATGAAAGAAAACCTCTTCTTCGCTATTTGTATTTTGTCCTATAATTTTTTTGTTTTTTGTTTTGTTTTGTTTTGTTTTTTTACAGGCAGAGTGGACAGTGAGAGAGAGAGAGACAGAGAGAAAGTCTTCCTTTGCCATTGTTGCACCCTCCAATGGCCGCCGCGGCCAGCGCACACCGCGCTGATCCAAAGGCAGGAGCCAGGTGCTTCTCCTGGTCTCCCATGGGGTGCAGGGCCCAAGCACTTGGGCCATCCTCCACTGCACTCCCGGGCCACAGCAGAGAGCTGGCCTGGAAGAGGGGCAACCGGGACAGAATCCGGCGCCCCGACCAGGACTAGAACCCGGTGTGCCGGCACCGCAAGGCGGAGGATTAGCCTAGTGAGCCGCGGCGCCGGCCTTGTCCTATAATTTTATATTGCACTGAATTAAGGATGTTCCAGTTTTATATTCTATTGTACTAACCTTTCAGTTCTACAAAATGTATTGTTAGTTTTTCAATAAAAATAAACCACAGACAGACCAATGCCTTCACTTTTACTTTGGCCTTCTGATACAGTCCTCACGTTCTAGAGCAATTACGTGAGGACAGGAAACGCGCAACACTGCCTGCTGCCTGGGCAGCTACGCTGTGGGCGTGTCTGGTCCATGCCCAGCTGGCTGCCTCTACGTCAGGAAGAAAACACTGCCACCCTGGGGAAGTGTACGCCCACCTCAGAACCAGTGGCATACCACAGTTCATTAATGCTACCATCATCCCTTCCACACAAAACACTGAAATCTTAATTAAACCCAGAAACTCTAAGAAAACAAAAAACATAGCCAATTTGATTAAATGTAGACATACGCAATATTACAGGCTTCAAAAATCATTTTTCATGCTTTATCAAAGCTGTAACCAACAAGAGAGAACCAATCAAAGAAAAATAGTATCACAGAGTTAACAAGAACAAAAGCATCTGTATGTTAAAGAATCATAAAAAAACACGGGGAGGGTATCTGGCCTCGTGATTAAGACCCCCACAGCCCACATCGTGCGTGGTTTGATTCCCAGCGTGGGCTCCTGACCCCAGCTTCTTGCTAGAGGACCCTGGGAGACTGCTGATGGTCAAGTAAAGCCCCGTCCAAGTGGGGACCTGGATGGAGCCCCTGGTTCCAGCTTTGACCTGGCCTGGCCCAGTTCGCTGCAGGCGTTTGAGGAGTGACTAGCAGACGAGCGCACAGGCAATACATGCTCGCTCTCGTCTATTTCAGAAACAAACCATCAGATCTCGGGTCCGGAAAGTCAGAGTCCCCCGCCGCATGGCATCAACAGAGCAGACACGACACTCACGCATGGACAGACGCGGAGCATCATCCTCAGGAAGGGCCCTTCACTCCCACCTGCTCTCTGGCGCTTCCCAGCTCGATCTTTGTATTTTGGATTCTTCAAGGCCTTTCATCTTCATAATCTGTATTCTTAACAGAGAAAAAGAAAAGCTGATAAGTAAAAATGTCACTTCTTACATTTGCCTTAGCTGGCAAAAATGGCTCCACGTGGGGCGGGTGCTGTAGGGTGAAACCACCACCTGCAGTGCTGGCATCCCATATGGGCGCCAGTTCTAGTCCCAGCTGCTCCTCTTCCAATCCAGCTCTCTGCTATGGCCTGGGAAAGCAGCAGCAGATGGACCAAGTCCTTGGGCCCCTGCACCTGCGTGGGAGCCCTGGAAGAAGCTCCTGGCTCCTGGCTTCGGATCAGCGCTGCTCCTGCTGCTGTGGTCACTTGGGGAGTGAAACCAGCAGATGGAAGATCTCTCTCTCTCTCTCTCTCTCTAACTCTGCCTTACAAATAAATAAATCATTCTTTTAAAAAAAATGGCTCCACGTGACCTCTCTAACAGAAGAAACCAAGCAGTGACACACTCTCCTTTGCAGCTGTAACACTGCTTCAGATTGTAGCACAACGTGGGCAGTGACAGAGGAGGGGAGAACAGCACACTGACTTACTGCTGTGTTCTCGTGTCCTGTGAGCACGCACATTTAAAGGAAAACACAGAACAGGCCGGCGCCGCGGCTCACTAGGCTAATCCTCCACCTAGTGGCGCCGGCACACCGGGTTCTAGTCCCAGTTGGGGCGCTGGATTCTGTCCCGGTTGCCCCTCTTCCAGGCCAGCTCTCTGCTGTGGCCAGGGAGTGCAGTGGAGGATGGCCCAGGTGCTTGGGCCCTGCACCCCATGGGAGACCAGGATAAGCACCTGGCTCCTGCCATCGGATCAGCGTGGTGCGCCGGCCGCAGCGCGCCGGCCGCGGCGGCCATTGGAGGGTGAACCAACGGCAAAGGAAGACCTTTCTCTCGTCTCTCTCTCTCACTGTCCACTCTGCCTGTCAAAAAAAAAAAAAAAAAAAAGGAAAACACAGAACAAATGCGGGTGGGAAAGCCCACGCCCTGATCTGTCTCTGTGAGAGGCGAGGCTGCAGCTCCCCTCGCCCGACCTGGCAGTCACCTTCCACGGCCCTGGAGAGCAGCTCCTGACTCGGGAGTGCAGCCTGTCGTGTGGCACGCGCCACGCCTGCCGGGAGTCTCAGCCTAACCTCTGTTCCTGGAGTCTTCTGGACGTTTAAAGCTCTAGGTTTATACTGACCCATGACGCACTCTCAGTTCACCTCTGTAGGCGCGTGAGGCAGGGACCAATGCTTCCTGTCTCTGCACGCAGCCCTCTCTGTACGTCAGCACCGCTTGTGGAGAGACACCCGTTCTCTACCCACTGCCTTCCCTCCTCTGGCGGAAGACTGCTCGTCCACACAGGCACAGGCTCGCGCATCCGAGGTGGGCGTACCCCCGGACTGCTTGGGTCCATGCCCATACGACACTGTCTTCAGGCCAAACGGAAGCCACACGTGCTCGTGGCGGCACCTCACTAGCGCAGGTCTCTGTGAGCCGCAGCGGCTGTGGAAGTCTACTTACCCTCAGCGGTCCTTAGTCAGGATCCCCAGACCGGGAACAGCTGACACAGTGACAAAGCGCAGAAGGACAGTAAGCAGCCCTGGACAGCAGTGCACACTCACCACACCTAAAGGCAGTTTTACTCAAACCAGATAGATAGCTTAAAACATCAACAAGGGGCGGCGCTGTGGCGCAGCGGTTAAATGCCCTGGCCAAAGTGCTGGCATCCATATGGGTGTCGGTTCTAGTCCCTGGCTGCTCCTCTCCCTATCCAGCTCTCTGCTATGGCCCGGGAAAGTGGTGGAGATGGTCCAAGGCTTTGGGCCCCTGCACCCGCGTGAGACCCAGAAGAAACTCTGGCTCCTGCTTTGGATTGGCGCAGCTTCCGGCCATTGCGGCCATCTGCGGAGTGAGCCAGCAGGTGGACCACTCTCTCTGTCTCTGTCTCCCCTCTCTCTGTAACTCTTTCAAATAAATCAAATAATCTTTAAAAAAAAAATCTCAACAATATTTAAAACCCATAACTGTAAACCATATTTCACTCGTATTTTCTTTAATTCTTTTCTCCTTTCCAACTCTTTTCTTCTTTACTTAGTGCTGGACCACTAAAAGAAAAAAAGTTAGTTAAAAAAGAATCAACATATCCAATAGATGTTGTAGCAACTACTATTATAAAAAGCTAACAGTATTAGTAACCCATTCCTATTAATAAAAGTTTAAACATTAATATACATGATTTTGGGTTATGTTAAGATTCTCTGGGCATTTTTGTAACTAAACGTCTTGGAAAGAAAGCCAAGAACCAAACCTTACAGGAAGATCATAATGTAGATACCATAATGAACAATGGTGGTATCAAACAGCAAACCCAAAGTAGAATACTCTGTAAATCTCCCAAAGGCACAGACACAATACAATCTGTAAAGCTGAAGATTCACGTTCTCGTGTACTAGGGCACACTCAGTCTCACCCTAAGGATCAGAGAAAGAGCAAACAACGGGCAGGCGCACGGCCGGGGGATCCGACGCAGAAACCGAGCTGCCACAGCTCATGCATCTGTGTGTGCGCAGCTTTGCGTGGGGGCCTGACGCAGCAGGCCTCAGCCTGCGGGCATTTATTAGAAAACACGACGGCGCACAGAGCCAGCAGACCAACATCAACCAAGAACTCCAACGCCCCTCGACGTCCATAGCCGACGCCACGTGACAGGCTTTCACCACCGGATGACTTTTTCTTGCTGGTAACAGATGTTAAATCTTGTCATTCAGTTAAAAGGAAATCAATTTTTACGATATTATGTCACAATTTTTAAATTATACACTGACAAGCTGCATACAGTGTCCATGTTTTGATATGCATACTCTATGGAATGAGTGGCTCAATGAAGCCAATTAACAGCCACATTACCTCACCTTTCTTTCTGTGGTGAGAATACTTAAAATTTGCTCTGTTAACCATCTTTAAACAGTTCTCACCAAGGACATTTAGGTACCACAGCTGTCTATTTCCAAGTGCTGCTAAACTGGATTAGCAAAAAGAGCGGATCAGCCTCTCTCCTGCTCAGAAAGCCACCTAATGGCACATCCCCTGAACCACACGCTAACACAGAAAAGCCAGCACCGTCACCAGCAATACCCCAAGTCTCCAATTTCAAACACGCGGAACTGTACAGCCCTGTCTCACTCTCCCGACACCCGCACTGAAGCACCATCACACCCACTGAGACACGGGCTCGCAGGGCCACGGTCACCCTCACGACCCCATCACGGCCACCAGCTGTGAAGGAGGAGCGGGCGACCGTCTTGCAGAACGGCCACGCCCGCGGGGAGCAGCGTCTCACGTACCGAGAGCTTCGTGCTTCTGATCGAGGCGCAGGTGCGCCCTCACCTGCCCCGGCTCGCAGCCATCGCACGTCTCGCTGCCGGGGTGGATGTGGAAGGACAGCACGGTCTCCCCGATTCTCACCTCGTCCCCGTGCTCCAGCACGTGAGGGGCACACCTGGCTTTTGGCTAGAGGAGAAAACTGTCAGAACACAGTCGCGGCCGGCTACGGTACGTACACCGCACAGAACACCTGCACTGAAGACACGGGACGCCCTCACAGCGAGGGACCCACACCGGGGGGAGAGGCAGAGGCCCTGGGCACCTTCTGACATCACCAAATCCACCAACCGCCCTCTCTGCGTGCCCAGTGCTGTGAGAGATACACCCCTTCAGACGTCAGCCACCACACAAGGAGCTCTAGAAGCCTCAGAGAGGGGCTGGATGCACACCCCTGTCCTGCAGGCCGTGCGAGTCACTGCTGTCACCCCGACAGGCGGGCCTCTGTTCTCCCCCACTCCCCTCTCTGTTCCCATTACGTGCCGAGCACTTCCTCACCAGCACAGGACAGAAGCACCATGGGGGGGGGGGGGGGCACAGCCCCTGCCCTCCACGGAGCTTCCAGTCCGTGACATTTCCATGACAACTGGAAGGAAGAAGGAGTGCCTGAAGGTGCCCTAAGAGCACGCAGTCCAAGGAGGTTTACCACACACTCACGGGAGAGGGCAGAGCCAGCAACAGCACCGCCCAGGAACGCTTCCCAGCAGCCCTGCTCCGCACGGCCGCCGGGTCTGAGCTCCCAGGGGAGCCCCGGCAGCCCCGACTCCCGCATGGCCGGGTCTGAGCTCCCAGGGGAGCCCCGCAGCCCTGCTCCTGCACGGCCGGGCCTGAGCTCCCAGGGGACCCAGAGGCCGTCTACAACGGCGACGTCCTCCGGGGTGAAGCCGCGTCCAGTTTTCACCACGCACTCACCTGGAGAATCTGCTTCCCGTTGACAGTCGTGCCGTTCTGACTGCCTTGATCCACCAGGACGTAGCTTTGTAAGTCGTGGTCAAAATGCACTTCCGCATGAAACTTAGGGAAACAGAAATCAGGCAACATTAAGTTACAGCTTTGTTTTTTTTAACCACGGGTAACAATTTTTCTGGCACGATGATGTGGACTTTGTTTTTTTCAATACAAACTGATATTCTGGTAGAAATCTGGCGGCTAGTGAAGAAGCAGTCATCCGTAATTCTCCCTAACACTCACAGTTCAGTATCTACCCATTACCTAACAGTTCAGTATACGAGAGGTCTTCAACACGCTTATGGATATGTGTACTATGAATGGGTTCCAAATTCTCTCTTCACCAAAACACACTCATCTTTTAATTCCATTCTGCACACACTCTGGCAGTGCCCTGGCACATGTGTGCCTCTGCTTCCTCACAGTTCATCACAAAGTCAGGAGCTGCTGCACACAGCACCGGCCAGTCCCTGCACTGAGTGAAACGCATCACATGGACACACCACAACCATCCGCTCCAACGACGCAGGCAACGCTTTCTCCCGGTCTTACAATTTTTAAAAATATTCCTGCTAACCTTCTTACAGTACATGTACACTCTGTGTGCACTGCAATGGAATAGCTAAAACATCACATATCCCACTTTTTAAAATTTTGTTAAAGATTTACTTATTTGAAAGGCAGAGCTAGAGAGAGAGGTAGAGGGAGGGAGGGAGAGAGGGAGTTAGGAGAGGGGAAGGGAGGGAGACGGTGGGGGGGTGCAAATGGAGTATCTTCCATCTACTCGCTGGTTCACTCCCCAAATCGCCACAGTGGCCAGGGCTGGGCCAGGCGCTTCATAAGGGACTCCCACGTGGCTGCAGGGGCCCAAGCACTTGGGCCATCTTTTGCTGCTTTCCCAGGCGCATTAACAAGAAGCTAGACTGGAAGCGGAGTAGCTGGGACTTGAACCAGTGCACCTATGAGATGCCAGTGCTTCAGGTGGTAGCTTAACCTGCTGCGCCACAGCGCTGGCCCCCCACATCCCAGCTGCAATTCTGCTCTGCTCTGGCCTGACAGTTTGAGAGGCTCCGAAGGGCAAAGCTGTGAACAAGAGCCGTGAGAGAGGACAGACTATTCTCGGCTGTGAAACAGGTCCAGGGCCAAAGAGCCACTTCCCAGGTGTCCTGAATCCAGAGGTGATTTGCTTTGGAGTTGGCAAAAACATGTAACATGTACCACATGGCATGTCCTCAAAAACATGTCAAAACGGGTGCTACTTTAACACTCAGTGTGCTTCACCCCGCTCCAGTGTTCAAAGCAAAACATAACGCGTTCAGACTGTGGAGGGACTCTTCTCCAAGCACTGGAACACCATCTGTACCCCGCACCACGGCCGCTGCAACCCCGCCGTACACCCTCACGCTCCAGAGGGAAACGTTCCACGTGCTACCTGGGAGGAGATCGCCGCACTCACCTTACTGACACCGACTTCAGGGATGCGCAAGGTGTGCTTCCATGTCCTTCTCTCTGCAATGGAAGGGACAGTCACCTCCGCAGCCACACACAGCGGCGGGGCAGACTTGGGAACAGGCCCCGAGGGGACCCCCCCTCTCCTCCCTGGCTGCTCCTACGGCTGCTCTTCTCTTCACACTGTGCTTTCTGTGGGGGAGGGGCTGCCTCAGTCCTCTCTGTTCGCCGCAGTGCAGCGGCACGTCTGACCCTCAGCAACACGGAAGCCCTGCCTCTGCGGAAGCCCTGGCGGAAGGAGATGATGACGTGAGCCGTTTTTACCTTCCGATCGTCGCAGGGGTCACAGCGGTAATGATGAACAGCGACCCTGTCTGCAGCACCGGGGACCGGACAACGATCACTCTAATACACGGGGGCCAGATCTTCTCCTCATCTGCAAGGCAAGGAGACGGCACACGTCAACTCCGCCGCGACAGAGCGCACGCTTCAGGGCGTGCACGAGGCACCCTCGCGTGAACACTCTGATCACAAACCTCAGATCTGACTGAGAAATTCCTCAGGCTCTGCAATTTGATATCTACACGTTACAGCAGCATACGAGGCCCAACACTGCTGCAGGGGACAAAGGAGGGGTGCAGCACACCCCACACCTGGCAAGGTTAAGACGTCAACACTGTTTAAAGATCTGGGACTTGAAAATATCCCAAATACATACTTTTAAGTTAAAATTCAAATGTACTTTTACTAAAAGCTAGGAGAACCGTCACTGAGAACAGAAGAACAAAAGCGCACGTCAGTGTGAGGTAGCGTGCTTCACAGCATGTACTTCTGCCTTCAGGAGCAGAAACAGGCTCACCCAGTACGTCAGCGACTGGATGCAGGGGCACACTTTTGGAGACGAGCTTGCTCCTGCCTTCAACCTAGAAAGTAGACAGCAGGGGCCGGCACTATGGCGCAGTGGGTAAAGCCGCTGCCTGCAAGGCCAGCGTCCTCTGTGGGCCTTGGTTTGTGTCCCGGCTGCTCCACTTCCAATCCAGCACCTGGGAAAGTAATGGAAGTTGGCCCAAGTGTTTGGCTCCTGCCACCCCGAGTGAGATCTGGATGGAGCCTCCTGGCTCCCTGGCTTCAGCCTGGCCCGGCCGGCCTGTTGTAGCCATCTGGGGAGTGAGCCAACAGAAAAAAAGGAGTTTCTCTCTCCGCTTCTCACTCTTAACTCTTTCAAAATAAAGCCTGCAAATCTCTAACCCAGAAACACCTTCACATGTCCTCTAGGATCCGCTGCAGGCCGCCTGTACTTTAAAAAGCACAAAACTCTCTGAGGGCCGAAGTGTGAAGCACTGCTTCACATCACATCTCTGCAAACCACCGAGCGGTGCCTGCGTCACTTTGGTTAACGTCAGACTCCGGCACAAGTCCCCGATATCGCCGGCGCTGGGTTCCTGCACACCTACCGCCTGGCTTCCCCGCTGCAAACGAGAACGAGACTCACCCTCCTCCTCGGTGTCCACACCGCCGCCGTCCTCCTCACTAGTGCCCTCGGTGTGCGAGTCTGTAATTTCACCTTCCTCCGGCTCACTGTCGGTCTCTGGGCCTTTCCCGGCGTCCTCTGCTGCGGCATTCGTGGCGCCGTCACAGGGAGGGGACTCTGCGCCACCTCGGGGAGGACTGTGTCTGTGGTCAACGTCCGTTCTGGCCTTCTTCCTCCCATCTGCACAACTCTCCCCCTCGCCGCGGCTTGCGCATTCCACGCTGGCAGCCTTCTGGTCTGCTGAACTCGCGTCCTGAAAGGCGGCGGGAGGCAGGTGGGGCAGGAGAACATCACCACCGAACAGCCATCGCGGCACGGGCGGGGGACACACGGGCGAGCACAGCAGCCGCACTCTGCACCGCTGCCTCTGCTCCCTTCCCGGGGGACGACGCCGTCACCCAAAGTAAGGACTTTGTAACCACCAGGCGGAATCAAACCCCGTCTCAGGCCACCCCAAATCTGTCTCCCAAGCGAGCCCGCCCTCCACACGCACGGCCCAGCCCACACGACAGGGCCTGTGATGGACCTGGCAGGAGAGTCACTCTCGGACTCGCCAGTATTCGTGTCCCACCGTCCGTGAGACGGTTACCTTCATCTCTGTGTGCTAAGCCCTCAAAAGCCTGTGTATTTCACACTTCCGGCACACCCCAGTACAGACGAGCCACACGCACTCACCCAGGCACACGCAGCTGCCTGCCTGGACGGTGGGCCTGGACAACACACCTGTGCCTGACGTGCTTTCTGAACGTCTAACCGGTCAGCAAGTCAACACAGAAGCGATCCAAACAGACCCAATGGACACGAGCTGCAGTTTGCCGAAACTTGGAATTCTGGAGCACAGACAAGGCAGCTCTATCTGTCATCCCAGAATTTCAATTTGTTCGCGTTTTATTATTAATTTGTTGAATACGTGGAGTTGGCATGCTTTATGACAAATGAACTTTTTCTAATTGATAAAACTGCATACTTTTACCATGTTCAACAACAATGTTTTGAAATAAGTACCCTGTGGAACTGCCCAATTAAGCTAATTAACGTGCATTACACCTCACGTTTTTGTGCTGACAATATCTAAAATTTACTCTCAGTGATTCTCAACTATACACAGTATTAACTACAGGAACCACGCTATACAATGGATAAATCTCTAAGTTTAATCTTAGAAGAATCCAAGAGTTATTCTCCTGTTTTTCCTTTAGTTTGTAACACATTCTCATTTTTTCTTTCTACCTTAGAGCAACAGGAAGAAGCAAATTCATACGTTCTTTTGTTACTTATAAGAGCGCATAGGAGGCCGGCGCCGCGGCTCACTAGGCTAATCCTCCGCCTTGTGGCGCCGGCACACCGGGTTCTAGTCCCGGTCAGGGTGCCGGATTTTGTCCCGGTTGCCCCTCTTCAAGGCCAGCTCTCTGCTGTGGCCTGGGAGTGCAGTGGAGGATGGCCCAGGTGCTTGGGCCCTGCACCCCATGGGAGACCAGGAGAAGCACCTGGCTCCTCGCTTCGGATCAGCGCGGTACGCAGGCCACAGCGCGCCAGCTGTGGCGGCCATTGGAGGGTGAACCAACGGCAAAAGGAAGACCTTTCTTTCTGTCTCTCTCTCTCTCACTGTCCACTCTGTCACAAAACAAAACAAAACAAAAACACACATATTTACAGTAGCATGAACTCTGTTTGGAGATGGCTACCCAGTCACAGTGTGGTAAATGAACCACTTACATTTCCCAGCAACGCACTCATCAAGAACAAGAAAAACCACAAGGACAATCCCCAGTCAATACAGATTTTCACAAAAGCAGATTCTCATCTTGTGTATTTTATTGTCATCATTATTCTTGGGCAACACGCGCAGCGCGAAGTGTGACCGTCAGCGGTGCTCCTCACCTAAGCTACCTGCAGTGCGGAATGTCAGAGTGTTAGGTAAGAAGGCTGCTCTCAAACAGGCACTGAGGCCTGGGGAGGCGACCTCCAAAGGCTCATGGCAACACATGCTTCCTGTCAACTAAATTTTTCAACGCACTTTTTGAGGCACTCATAGACATACTTCACATTATTTCAAAAATATTCTTACTTCTTACTTATTTTCATTTTCTTTAAAAGGCAGAGAGTTAGAAATAGACAAAGATCCTCCATGCACTGGTCCACCCCACAGCTGCCTGCTACAGCCAGGGCTGGGCAAGGCCTCCCATGTGGCTAACAGGGGCCTGCTGCCTCTCAGTGGTGCAGGAGGCAGGAAGTTGGCATACGACGTGGGCAGACTGGATTCAGGCACCTCGATGGGGAACGCAGGCATCCCGGGCAGCTTCTCGGCTCTGTGCTGACACCCTGCGTTCAAGTCCCACTCGTCTCCTCAGCCTCCTGCCCTCCTTCACAGTCATCACCTCTAAACGCAAGCCTCACGCGCCGTAAAAACAACGAGGAGGAAGCTTCAACAGCCTCGCCCGGCTCGCAGCCAGGAGATTCCGGTCAGAACCTCGCCAACTCTCGCAATGCACGCAGGGTGAAGCCTCTGACCTAGAGCTCGCGTATTCTCGTGGTTGTGGGAGCCAGAGAGGACCCCTGGCACAGCACGCATTTCAACCCGATTCCTAGGGAACAGCCTGAGCCCCCACAGACACCCCTACCCGCAGGGGAGAGGCACTTTCACGGCCTACGCCTTTAAACAGTTTGCCCACTAAGAAGGCACGAGCCACTGAATGAGGTCCTCAAACAAAAGAAACCACTCTTCCTATATAGCTGTATACTCTAGACACACACTACCAACGAAGAATGCAAATAAGCAAGTCTAACAGAGAACAGCAAATGAATATGGCCGAATCCTAACTGTATGTGAACTTTAGAATTCCGTATGTAATCATTTTTCTCTCATTAAAAAAGCGAATGACATGAGACAGAATTTCAAAGGCAAAGCATCCAGCAGGAGCCACCAGCTGCTCTGCTAGGAGCAGAAGCCAGGGCACACGAGTTTCTACATGGTCCTTAACATCACATCTCAGAGGTTCTCCAACCCCTCAGTCTAACCACCACCTGAGCCCTCACAGTACCTTCTCTACTCAGCGCACCATCGCTTCCTTACTCAGTACCTTGCAGGCCATCTAAATGCTTTTCTCTTTGTTCTTACAAATATAAAGCTACTTCAAAAAGTTAGTGGGGGCCAGAGCTGTGGCATAGTGGGTAATACCAACGCCTGCAGTGTCGGATCCCATATGGGCGCAGGTTCACATCCCAGCCGCTCCACTTCCGATCCAGCTCCCTGCTGTGGCCTGGGAAGGCAGTGGAATGGCTCAAGTCCTTGGGCCCCTGCACCGGCGTGGGAGACCCGGAAGAGGCTCCTGGCTCCTGATCGGCTCAGCTCTGGCCGTTGTAGCCAACTGAGGAGTAAACCAATGGATGAAGGACCTCTCTCTGTCTCTGCCTCTCCTTCTCTCTGTGTAACTGACTTTCAAGCAAATAAATCTTAAAAAAAAAAAAAGTTTGTGGAAAAATGGAATTAAACATCAAGTTTATTTTGATGTAAATTAATTTTGAAGTTCAATGGATGCATAGCTTTTTCATAATATGCATTTTCCACGCACTTCCTGAGGACTCTTCATTTTGCTATAGAATTATGCAGAGGGATTTTTCTTTCACTTAAATTTTTAAAATAAATTACTAGAAACAAGATTTTCTAATAAAGAATATGAACATTTTTATGGCTACTATATACACAAACACTGGTTTTCTTTTTTTTTTTTTTTTTTTTTGACAGGCAGAGTGGACAGTGAGAGAGAAACAGAGAGAAAGGTCTTCCTTTTGCCGTTGGTTCACCCTCCAATGGCCGCCACGGCTGCCGCACTGCGGCCGGCGCACCGCGCTGATCCGAAGGCAGGAGCCAGGTGCTTCTCCTGGTCTCCCATGGGGTGCAGGGCCCAAGCACTTGGGCCATCCTCCACTGCACTCCCTGGCCACAGTAGAGAGCTGGCCTGGAAGAGGGGCAACCGGGACAAAATCCGGCACCCTGACCGGGACTAGAACCCGGTGTGCCGGCGCCACAAGGCGGAGGATTAGCCTAGTGAGCTGCGGCGCCGGCACAAACACTGGTTTTCAATCCCAGCATGTACCTCCCTCCACTTGGCAGCCTGGATTTTCAATGTTTGCTAATGAAAGCCCTACAGGAGATTCAGAACACTGAACCTGACATCTGACAAACTGTTCTTTGCAATTTTTTTTTTTTTTTTAATTTTGACAGGCAGAGTTACAGTGAGAGTGAGAGAGAGAGAGAGACAGAGACAGAGACAGAAAGGTCTTCCTTCTGTTGGCTCACTCCCCAAAGGGCCGCCACGGCCGGCGCTGAGCCAATCCAAAGCCAGGAGCCAGGTGCTTCCTCCTGGTCTCCCATGGGGTGCAGGGCCCAAGGACTTGGGCCATCCTCTACTGCCTTCCCGGGCCACAGCAGAGAGCTGGACTGGAAGAGGAGCAACTGGGACTAGAACCCTTCGCCCATATGGGATGCCGGCGCCACAGGCGGAGGATTAACCCACTGCGCGATGGCGCCGGCCCCCAAACTGTTCTTGAAGACAGTGTTCGCATCAAGTTACCAACCAGGGTCTGAATGCCCCCTCCCAATTATGCAGCATCCGTACCTCCATCTATCTTCCAAATCTGAGAAATGTTCTCTACTGCTAGTCACGGAGAACTGAGAAAAGCCCACATTTGTTCCATCTCAACTCTCCCCAGTTGTTGGATTGAAGCATCTGAGTGTTTATGCTTGACATACAGAGTAAAGGAATTATTTTCATATGAAAATATTGGCTTATGTCTGTCATCAGCATTATGGAAACTTCTAAAATCATGAAGACATTACCTTTTCTTCAGTTGTTGTAGAGCTATCTGGATCCTTTCTTTTCTTCTTTAATTTTTTATCCTTACTCTGTCTTGTGGCAGGAGTCTGGTAAGGCTGCAGATCCACTCGAGAATGAAACTGATAGCGCCCGCTGTCCACGTCGCAGTAGTAATAGATGCCAGTGGAGGGGTCGTAGTATAGCTGGTTTTCCTTTCAAAGTCAAACGCATAAACTTAGTCACACAGGTCGAAATGCAACAGAAAAATTCAAATGGCCAAACAGAGTAAATTTACTTCTTTGATTCACTATGATATTTTTGGAAGACAATGAATTAAAGACAACAGAATGGGAAATGTTTACAATCTTCCAAAACACGGCGCCATTTAATATCTATCTAATTTTTCTAGAGTGAAAAGGAATCATATAAATATTAAATGGAACCACACGAAAGTGCCAATATTTGACTTTTTTTACTGTTAAGGGACAGGGTTTCATATGGCTCACTTTAATACATTCAGAGAAAATGTTAACAAGAAAACCCTCTGAAGGCACGCATCAGAAAACGCTGATCGGACGAAAGCAATTCTAGACTTGGCACCCTTAATGACTGCACAGTAATGGCCTGGTATTATAAAGCCCCAAGCCCCACTCTGTCATAAAACATGATTTCCCTTTTAATGTTCATTACTTAGAGACACTGACAAAAAAATCTGAAGATAAATTTAAGCTCATAAATACCATGACACAACATACTGTAAGCAGAAATAGATAATTTGCTTCACTAAATTAAGTAAATAACACAGAGTAGCTATACCAAAGAATTTTGGCAAATTATGGATAAAAAACTAAAAGAAGGGGCCAGTGCTGTGGTGTAGTGGCTGAGCCTCCGCCTGGGGAGCTGGCACCTTCATGTGGGCACCGGTTAGTGTTCCGGCTGCTCCTCCTCCGACCCAGCTCTGCTGAGGCCGGGGAAAGCAGTGGAAGATGGTCCAAGTGCTCGGGCCCTGCACCCGCGTGGGAGACCCGGAAGAAGCTCCTGGATTCGGACTGGCCCATCTCCAGCCCTTGTGGCCACCTGGAGAGTGAACCAGTGGATGGAAGACCTTTCTGTCTGTTAACTCTACCTCTTAACCTTGTTAACTTTACCTCTACTTCAAAAAATAAATAAATAAATAAACAAACCTAGAAAGCAAAAGTTGTGCAATCATTTGCATTTAGAAATGCTGGATGGCATTCTCTAACGGAGATTTAATGGAACACCTCTAATCTGGTGACATCACACATTCACGCAGCCCAGACCAGGAAACTTTTAGTGTACACAGACTGAGCAGCTTTTCCAACTGTGGACGGCACTGCAATCTGTCATCTTTAATCCATGCATTTTGCAGAATTCTCATCTTCTTTCCTCCAAGAAACTGAATCAGAGTTTTATTTATTTATTTATTTATTGTTTACTTGAGAGGCAGAGGACCAGAAAGAGCTCCTTTCCGCTGACGGCTGGGCTATGCTGGGGCTGAAGCCAGGAGTGGGGATAGGAACCCAACCGCCTGAGCTCACTGCTGCTTCCCTGGGACTCAAACCCAGGCCCTGTGATGTGGGACACGGCTATCTTAACCCCCAGGCTTTAGCCTGCTCCTCCGAATCAAAGGTTTTTATCTTTACTACTAGTGATAATGGATTTTTATAGCTTAAACCTTTAAAACCTCTTATTGGAACAAAATACAAATATTTTCAAAACCTAAGAGGAATTCTACTTAGTTAACATATAAGAAAACAAGCACAATAAAAATGGCAGGCCGGCGCCGCGGCTCACTAGGCTAATCCTCCGCCTAGCGGCGCCGGCACACCGGGTTCTAGTCCCCGTCGGGGCTCCGGATTCTGTCCCGGTTGCCCCTCTTCCAGGCCAGCTCTCTGCTGTGGCCAGGGAGTGCAGTGGAGGATGGCCCAGGTGCTTGGGCCCTGCACCCCATGGGAGACCAGGAAAAGCACCTGGCTCCTGGCTCCTGCCATCAGATCAGCGCGGTGCGCCGGCCGCAGCGCGCCGACCGCGGCGGCCATTGGAGGGTGAACCAACGGCAAAGGAAGACCTTTCTCTCTCTCTCTCACTGTCCACTCTGCCTGTCAAAAAATAAATAAATAAATAAATAAATAAATAAATAAAAATGGCAAAATAATTCAGTCTGCAACTGACTTAGAATGTAACCTGACGTTTACGTCAGGAGAGACACCCACGTCTACTCGTCTACTGGGAAAGGGTGTTCTCCTAGCAGCCTGCAGCAGCCACTCCTCTGGGCAAGCTCGTGATAAGCCTCTGCTGAACTCAGATACCTGGCCCGGCCCTGCATACCGAGAGCCAGCCGCAGTGCCAGTAACGAGAAGGCCGACCACCCGTTCACCTCTCAGCTTGGCATTCTGTAACTCCTCAGGAGACCAGGGATACGCCGGGATCCCCGATATGGCGAGGAAGTTCCATCGCCACTGCCAGAGTCCCGGATGCGACTCCCATGGCCGCACCGCCGTACTGTCAGCCGGGGACTTTATTTTCTGGTCCTCTGCCGGTGTCCACTATCAATCAAATCTTCAGAAGTAAAATGTCTAAGAAGCCACAGACGATAAAACACTGACAAATAAACACGCTACTAAGAACTCAACAAAAGTCTCCGCCGTGGCCTGAACTGAATTCATAAGTATTTCAGACAGTTTTTAAAAATCTCACCCAAGCCTAGAATCAACGATCTTACATCCTTATGAATTCCATATTCAAGTGCGTTCCTTGCACATTTTACGATGACGTAGGTAATTATCTGCTTTCCTAAGTGAAGTCTCAGTGTTTCAGCGCATTTCCCTACATGTGAACGTTAATCTACAAGGACCAATGACAGCCTGATTTAAAAGCCTGGAGGTGCAGTACCGTAAGCCATTTCTACCTTCTGCCAACAGCCAGGACTCAAACAACGACTGAACACAGCTGCTCATCTTCTTCCCGCAGCCAGGCGTGCGACCACAGTGCTCAGAGTCTGACACACTTACGGAGTCGTAATAGAAACCAGTGCTGTGGTCAAAGTAGAGCCCAGTGCTCTCGTCGTAGCTGAAGCCCGTCTGCGACACGGCAGCCTCCGCGGCGGCTCTCAGACTCTCGGCCAGCGACGAACCTCCCGAGGGCGCCCCTTCAGCTGCTGACGCAGACGCCGGCCCCTAGGAGAGACACTGTCAGGTGAAATGAGACGAGCTTCTGCGCTCCCACTCAAAGTCAGCAGACCCAGGACGGCAAATCCACTTCGAACTGCAGGACACGACTGCGGCTTCCACAGTGGGAACGCTTCGGGAAGCCACTCTGAATCCTTTGGAGAACATTTACTAGTGTGTCCGTGAATCAGACTGACCCCGTTTTGCAGACTAAAAGTGAGGACAATTACTCAAGAATAAATAAATTAAGCAATACACACACACACACACACACACACACAGAAGCTTGAAACATCCTGTAAGACAAACGCTCTAGATTCTTCAGCAGTTGCATCTTGGTGGGAAAGAGAATTACAAAGAAATTCAAGGGGGCAGGCGCTGCGATGCAGCGGGTTAAGCCGCTACTCGGGATGCCAGCATCCCCTACCAGAGTGCCAGTCTGAGTCCCCAGCTACGATGCTTCCGACCAGCTCCCTGCTAACACAGCTGGGACGACAGCGGATGACATCTGAGGCACCAGAGGCGCTGCCACCCACACGGGAGACGCAGGCAGTTCCTGACTCAGGGCTTTGGCCTGGCCCAGCCCTGGCTATTGTGGGCACTGGTGGAGTGAACCAGCAGATGGAAGATCTTACTCCCTCTTGATCTGTCACTCTGCCCTTCAAATAAATAAACCTTGAAAAATAAAGACAGATGGAGGAGAAAGCGACAGAGTAAATGAGATGAAGGAATTTCACAAAGTTTATGGATAATCAAATTAGATGACATTTTTGGTGCAGAAGTACATGCACACGGGTCGGTACTGCGGCGCAGCAGGTTAAGCATTAAGTACTTGGGCCCTATACCCACACGGAAGACCCAGAGAAGCTTCTGCTTTGGATCAGTAAAACTCCAGCCGTTGTGGCCATTTGGGGAGTGAACGGCGAAGGAAATGTCTCTTCCTCTTTCCTTCTATGTATTTCTGCCTTTCATTTAAATAAATACATGCATATTTTTTCATAATACACATTTTTAATGAAGTTTTTTTGGAAAAATTTTTTGTATTTGAAAGGCAGAGAGTTACAGACAGAGAAAGAGGGAGTCATCTTCCATCTGCTGGTTCATTCCCCAAATGGCCACAACAGCTGGGCTGGACCACAGTGAAGCCAGGAGCTTCTTCTGGGTCTCCCACATGGATGGAGAGGCCCAAGCAATGGGTCGTCTTCCACTGCCTTTCCCAGGTCATTAGCAGGGAGCTGGATCAGAAGTGGAGCAGCTGGGCCTGCCAGAGTGGCAGGCAGCAGCTTAACCGGCTACACCACAGCGTGAGCCCCGTTAATGAATTCTTTTAAGATCCCTCAGGTGCATGGATTTCAAAATTTTTTACACCAAAATAAAATTCTTTTAGTTCCACTTTCCACAAACTTTTTGAAGTACCTTCATATATTACACACAGTGGGGATTTTAATTCACATGAATTATAAAAATAAGTTTATAAGACATTCAGGGAAATTAGAATAGTAACAAGAAACCTGATATAAAAAATTTGAAATATTTATTTATTTGAAAGGCAGAGTTAGAGCAGACAGAGAAAAAGAGAGAGAGATCTTCCATCTGCTGGTTCACTTCCCAAATGTTCACAATGATTGGGGCTGGACCAGGCCAAAGCCAAGAGCCTGCGACTTCACCCAGGTCTCCCATGTGGGTGGCAGGGGCCAAACACTTGGGCCATCTTTTGACGCTTTCCCAGGCACATTTAGTGGTAAGCTGGGTAGAGGTGGAGCAGACTGGACTGGAACCGGCACCCATTCGGGATGCCAGTGTCATTGCAAGTGGCGGTTTAGCCTGCTGTGCCACACACTAACACCACATTAAAACTCATTAGGTGTGGCTGGCGCCGCAGCTCACTAGGCTAATCCTCCGCCTTGCGGCGCCGGCACACCGGGTTCTAGTCCCGGTCGGGGCGCCAGATTCTGTCCCGGTTGCCCCTCTTCCAGGCCAGCTCTCTGCTGTGGCCAGGGAGTGCAGTGGAGGATGGCCCAGGTGCTTGGGCCCTGCACCCCATGGGAGACCAGGAAAAGCACCTGGCTCCTGGCTCCTGCCATCGGATCAGCGTGGTGCGCCGGCCGCACGCAGGTCGCGGCGGCCATTGGAGAGTGAACCAACGGCAAAGGAAGACCTTTCTCTCTGTCTCTCTCTCTCACTGTCCACTCTGCCTGTCAAAAAAAAAAAAAAAAAAAAAAAAAAAAAAAAAAAAAAAACAAAACTCCTTAGGTGTGACACTGATGTTGTGGCTGTTAGCCAAGGCTATTGGGTGGAGTCCAAGATACACTGTCAGACTGTTCCACTTTATGCAGACCATAAAAATTGAGAACATGATGTAACGGGAAAGCAATTACACATAAACAGGCTTTAATTTTTCAGGAACTGCGATATCGCTGCATAACTACACGTCAGAACAGTTACCACTCCTCGTGTGCAGTGCCGAGCAGAGACGTGTTTTCTCACTCACACTCACAGTACGAGGAGGCCAGCTCTCGAGCGCGACCGTCCCAGGCTGCGCACTGCGTTACCTCCGCATCCGGGGCGAGGTGGTGCCCAGGGGCGCACTCAGCGGGGTCGGCGTAAGCAGCACGCTCTGGCTGTGACTGGTCTGCGGAAGTCAGAGCTGGAGCTTCAGCACGCTGGCACTGCTGAGCCGCGAGTTCCGTGACTTGACTGGGAAGACTGTCATCGTTATAATATGTCTGGTAATAATAATCTGCAGCAAAACAAACCAAGCGGCGGATTAGGACGGTGCACATAAAAAGGTCTCCATTCCACAACACTGGCACTGATGACACACACTGTCCACGATTTCTACACTATACACATTTGAAAGGGAAGAACCGGCGGTGCAGACTAACCCAGGGACGGACATATCCGATTCTAACGTCCCCATTCACACCCACCTGCCACGCCGAAGAGGGAAAAAACACAGCACTTCTGGATTCCCCACACTAGCAGGAAGCAAATGGGCAAGAGCAACGCTTAACTTCTCGCCTCATACCCCATACTGCTGCTTATCAGTGACAGCAAAACAAAGCCAAGGTATTAGTGGCTGATTTTCTGGCAATCTGCTCACGAGGCTGACTCCCAAAGAATTTCTACCACACAGATACATAAGATAGTATTACTGCTGTCTGTGGAGATTCAGCTACATTGTTAAGTGATATGCATCTGAGTAAAACAAGACAGCGCTTAATGGGAAGATGACTACTTCTTGTAATCCACAACATAAAACCCAGCAGCTCACTGGTCTTCCTCACAATTTAATGCCACTGCGAGGCCACGGTGGGGAGCTCACTGTTCAACAAGGCCCTAAGAGACTGTCACTGGACACGCGCCTCAGTGGACGCCCCAACAAGATAACACAGCCCTGTGGTCACAAGGCGGATACACAAGGACGTAGGTGACGCACAGCGAGGCAGAATCCCGTAGCAAGCGTGCCAATGAGAACAAATCAGCCACGCCACAATGAGTGTGTCACTAAGGACACATGACCCACGCCAGTGAGAGTGCCAGTGAGCACACGTGAGACGCATCAGGGAGTGTGCCAGTGAGCACACGTGAGACACACAGGGAGTGTGCCAGTGAGAACACATGACCCACGCCAGTGAGCACACGTGAGCCACACCAGTGAGTACACGTGAGACGCATCAGGGAGTATGCCAGTGAGCACACGTGAGCCACGCCACAGTGAGAGTGCCAGTGAGCACACGTGAGACGCATCAGGGAGTGTGCCAGTGAGCACACGTGAGCCACGCCACAGGGAGTGTGGCCCTGAGCACACATCAGCCACGCCACAGGGAGTGTGGCCCTGAGCACACATCAGCCACGCCACAGGGAGTGTGGCCCTGAGCACACATCAGCCACGCCACGGTGAGTGTGGCCCTGAGCACACGTGAGCCCCGGCCCAGGAGCTGCAGGAACAGAATGTATTTCTACTTTTCCCGGCAAGACAGACTGCCGTGCAGACGCCACATCGCAGGGAGAGAAGTCGGCGCTCCACCGCCCGCTGTGCCCGCTGCGCCCCGCTGCGCCCCGCTGCGCCGACGGGCCGTGGAGAGCAGGAAGGGGTACCTGAGCGCGCCCAGGGAGCGCCGTCCTCGGTCTGCACCTCCACGTCAGCCTTCCCGCTGGCTCTGCTCCTCGCGCAGTGCAGCACCTTCCTGAGCTCCTCCACCTGAGAGAGAACAAGGCGTCAGGGCGCGGCACCGCCACCCGCCCGGATGCGCCACTTTCCCGACACTGCAAGAGGTCACGTCTTTTTTAGAGAAGTGCTAAGAACAGCTGGCTTCCTATTCAGAAAAAACTAAAGATGGCATAACTTACTTCCTGTAACATTTACATGTAATCTGCATCGATCTTCCTAAGCTCTCTTGTTAAATGTCCGAAACCAAACCGGAAGAAGTTAGGTAACAGGACTTCGCGGGCGGGATTCTTTGTTTCTAACAAGAAAGTTTCAATGACAGTATTTCACAAGGTCACTAGTTCTCCTGAAACAGGAATTTCTGTTTGCAAGTGTCGTGACTATCAGTGTAGGAAGCAGCTCGAGGGCAGGGCGCGCCCCAGACCGAGCCGAAGCCCCCGCGCTCAGCGAGCTAGAGAGCACGCGGGTTCGGGGCGGCTTCACAGACTCGGCCGGGACCGGAAAAAAATGAAGCAAGAATTCCACCGCCACCGGGACGCCCGCCCGGAGAGGCGAGCAGGGCGAAGACGCCGGCAGCCTCCGCCCCAGCACGCCGCCCCCGCCCCCGGACACCCCCCGACGACCCCCAGCACGCCGCCCCCGCCCCCGGACACCCCCCCGCCGACGACCCCCAGCACGCCGTCCCCGCCCCAGCACGCCGTCCCCGCCCCCGGACACCCCCCGACGACCCCAGCACGCCGTCCCCGCCCTCATCACACCGTCCCCGCCCTCAGCACGCCGTCCCCGCCCTCAGCATGCCGTCCCCCGCCCTAAGCACGCCGCCCCCGCCCCCAGCACACTGTCCCCGCCCCCAGGACGCCCCCCGACCCTGGAGCACACCGCCCCCGCCCCAGCACACCGTCCCCGCCCCCAGCACACCGTCCCCGCCCCAGCACACCGTCCCCGCCCCCAGCACACCGTCCCCGCCCCCACACACCGTCCCCGCCCCCAGCACACCGTCCCCGCCCCCAGCACGCAGTCCCCGCCCCCAGCACGCCGTCCCCGCCCCCAGCACGCCGTCCCCGCCCCAGCACACTGTCCCCGCCCCCAGCACGCCGTCCCCGCCCCCAGCACACTGTCCCCGCCCCCAGCACGCCCCCGCCCCGCCGTGCACCTGCGTGCGGAGCTCCTGGTTGCTGGTCTCGGCGCTCTGGTACAGCCGCTCCGTGTGGTGCAGCAGCCGCTCCACCTCCCGCACCTGCCGCCGGCAGCTCCGCAGCTCGCGCTCCAGCTTCTCCACCTTCCGCCGCAGCTGCGCCAGCTCGGGCTCGGGCGAGGCCTCGGGCTCGGGCTCCGGCTCGGCGAGGCGGGCGGGCGGCGGCGATGGCGACGGCGCCTCGCCGCCGCCATGGGCGCGACGGGCGGCGCTCAGGCCCGGGCCGGCGCCGGCGGGCCCAGGGGCCACGGGAGTGCGCGGGCGGCGGAGGGCGGCCTCGGCCCCGGCCGGACGCGCCGGGCCCCGGCCATGACGCGCGGACGCTCGCGGCCTGCGGCCGAACGGGGCGGCGGACGGCCCCTGTGCGATCTAGGCGGACCGGGACCCTGTACCGGAGACCCCGCGCCCCGGTCAGGGAGACGCGGGAGGAACGCGGGCGACGGAAGCGGCCGGAGAGCCCGAGCCCAGGCGCGCCGCGGCCGTCAGGCTCCGAGCCGGAAACGAAGCTCGGGGGTGGGCGGGCCCGGAAGCTACGGCGAGCGGGAAGAGCCTGGCGGCGGGCGAACTCGCGCGTGCGCGGGGCGGGGCGTTCGGTCCGCGGGGCGGGGCTGCGCTCGAAAGGGCGGAGCTCTCGGCCGAGGGCGGGGCTGCGGCGGGCGCGCTCCCGGGCTCCGGGTCTTCCTGGGCGAGCGAGCGCGGTTTCCTGCGCGCGCTGCGGGCCCTCGCCGCTCTCTTTCCAGGCCAGCGCCGCGCGACCTCGCATCGCCGGAGGCCGGGATCGCAGCGCCCACGACGCCAGCGTCCTCAGGGGTCCTGCGGGGCCTGGGCTCGCGCTGTGGGGGTTGCAGGGCCCCCCGGCCGGCGTGGCCCCTGGCGGCCCCCTCTGCCGTGGCCTCGCCGCGCCCCCGGCCCAGCGGAGGGAGGCCGGGCGGCGGCCTGGCTTTGCGCGAACGAGTGACTTGCGTGTCCGCGGTAGATGACGTCTCCCGGTCCGGCCCGCACCGCGGACCCTGCCCTCGTGTCCCTTACCGGAACCCGGTCGAGGCTTCTGAGGGCCCCGGCTGCCGGCCCGCCCGGCCCGCACCCCGGGCTCGCAAGATCTCACGCGGGCGGAGCATCTTTGCTCGCTTGTTCTGGGTTTGACCGCCGGCGTTAGCGCCTTTCTGAGGTCCAGCCCCGCGGCAGCGCAGCGGAACCCTCCTCCCCCGCCTTCCGGCTCTGCGCACGCTCAAGGCCGGAGGACGCCCCCGCTGCTCCCCTCAGCCCCCGGTTCCTGCTGGCCTCTCCGGACGCCACCTCGCATGTCCCTGAAGCGGTGTGAGGCAACACCTGGTGCCCTGGCCAGTGAGGGCCACGGCCGCCATCACACTGGCGTCTCCTGACGGCCCCATCTGTCCCGGGTCCGTGCCCACGGCTCCCCTCGCCGAGTTCCCCGTCCCGGGTCCGTGCCCACGGCCCCTCTCGCCGAGTTCCCTCTTTTGGGTCGGGGTCCGTGCCCACGGCCCCTCCCGCCGAGTTCCCTCTTTTGGGTCGGGGTCCACGTCCACGGCCCCTCCCGCCGAGTTCCCTGAGGGGAGGCGGCCCCGGTTGCGTGGCACTGCTTGCTGCTTTTCTGCCCTGGCACTAAGACACCCGGCCAGGCTGCTGGTCTAGGACGATGACGGACACATGGTGCTCCAGGACCCCTCACTCCCCCACCCCACCTCACGTCAGCAACCCAGGGCAGTCAGCCCACGAAGCCCCCAGGTTCGTGGGAATGAGTAAGCGAGGGCTGTTTGAGGCCATACGGTGGTAGCGCACACTCAGCCTGACAAGCCACACGGAGCCTGTGGGGTTCAGCAGGCTAGAATCCACACAGCTGACGACACCCCACAGGGCAAGAACGCCGTCCACTCAGAAACCCAGTATATGTCCAGTTGTGAAGAGGGTCATAAACTCCGTATTTAACAAGCATGCACCGTGGTAATACACCGTCCTCTGGGCCCACTCTCCCCTCCCGTACCAGCGGATGTCACGGGAATATCCCAGGAGCCACAGCCTCTCAACAGCTCTCACTGACGGCTCCATGTTACTTTTGGTCAACTGACCATTACCGTGTCCCCTGGAGGCCCAAGAGCGGGTGGACGTGGTGTCACAACACCAGGGTGCTGGAAAGGAGTCTGGAGGAGACGGGGTAAACCCCAGCCTGCACACGTGCATTTGTGAGTTCACTTTGTGCGACTGTGCAGCTGGCTTTCAAAAATTACTATAAACCTTCTCTGCTCTCCTCTCCTCTGCCCCGGGAAGGAGGGCGCTGACCCTCGAGACGCTGGCTTCTTCCACGGAACTAACTGTGGGTCCTCAGATCCAGCATCAGCGACGTACAACCATAACGTCACCCTCAGGGCGCCAGGAACGGCCCTTGTGAGCAAGAGCCACCACCCACCGCGAGGGCTCCTGGAGGGCCAGAAAGCAGGCGAACGGATGCAGGAGGAGAAGCCAGCCAGGGCTGCTGGTTCCTATGGGATGCGTCCCTTTAAGTGTTTCCTAGAGGGGTCAGCGCTGTCGCCTAGCAGACCTGGCCACCCCTGCAGTGCCAGCATCCCAATGGGTACCAGTTTGGGTCCTGGCTGCTCCACTTCCGATCTGGCTCCCCGCTAATGCCAGCACGCAGCAGAAGACGGCCCAAGTGCTTGGGCCCTGCACCCACGTGGGAGACCTGGATCAGCTCCAGTCCTGGATGCACTGGCTGCTGGGGCTTTGGGGAGCAAACCTTGGATGGAAGATGCTCTCCCTCTCTTTCTGCCTTTCAAATAAGCAAGTAATTTAAACATTCCTGACTGGAGCCAAGCAGGTGGACGGTGGCAGGCAACTCCAGGCCTGAGCCACCACTGCTGCCTCCCAGGGTCACGCGGCAGGGGCTGGAATCAGAACTGGGGCCTGAGTCCAGGCACTCGGGTGTGCAACAGGCTAAACTGCACAGCAAGGCTTGCCCGTTAAAACGACTCTTTACAATTTACTTACTTATTTGAGAGACACATAACAATTCTCACCTGCCGGTTCACCTCCCCAGTGCCTGCGAAACTGGGAGCCAGAAATGCAGTCGGGGGGGGGGGGAGGACAGGACCCAGTCACCTGCACCTGCGCCGTCGCCGAGCCTCCGGGTCTGCACTGGCAGGGAGCGGCGTCAGGCCCTCCATGTGGGCCACAGCATCTAAACGGCGAGGCTGCGTCTGGCCATACTTAGAGGCAAGCCAATACCGCTGGCACAGTGCTCCTCGAGGGCCTGCGCAGGCACGCTGGCGGCAAGCGTTCTGCTGACCGTAGGTGTACGAGGCGCTCGCTCTGGGGCTGCACAGCTCTGATTTTTTTTCTTACTTATTTGACAGATAGAGAGTGAGAGAGAGAGAGAGAGAGAGGTCTTCCTTCTGTTGGTTCACCCCCCAAATGGCCACTACAGCCGGCGCACTGCACCGATCTGAAGCCGGGAGTCCGGTGCTTCTCCTGTCTCCCATGGGGTGCAGGGCCCAAGCACTTGAGCCTTCCTCCACTGCACTCCCGGGCCACAGCAGAGAGCTGGACTGGAAGGGGGCAACCGGGACCAGAACCCGGTGCCCACATGGGGTGCCGGTGCTGCAGGCAGAGGATTAACCAAGTGAGCCATGACGCCGGCCCCCCGTTCCGACGATTACTTACAGGAACCCAGTGCCACGCACTGTTGTGAGCGCTGTGCAGGGCAGGGACGATCCATTAACTCTCCTGTGGGACGGGCCTCCCACCAGCACCTGCACCACAGGCCCAGAGCAGGGCCCTGCCCCAGTGGGCTGCTTCAGAGAACACAGGAAGGGTCGGCGCAGGACGCCGGGGAGGCAGTGCCCACCACGTGCTGACCGCTGCACACAGGGCAGCAGCAGCACTCCATCGAGGCACCGACCAAACAATGCGTGCATTTCAGACATGTCTGCACGAGAAATCATCATCCTTTAATTCATTTTCCCTTTAATTCATTTTCCCTGTTCTCGGTAAAGCGGCCTTTGTGCTCGTTCACTACCAACGGTTTTGCCCACAAGACGCTTTCCCAAGACGCGCACACCACCCCTGTGTGCTGGCTTTCCGTCTGCGTACACAGGTGAGCTTGCTGACGCGAAGCCTGGACGTGGACCTGGGACAAGCAAGGTCAGGAAGCTTTCCACCACGAGACACGCAAGCACACGCAGAGCTTCCTGAGTTACTCCCCTCTCATAGGACTGCCAGGAAACCACTGCGAACCACCAGCTCCTCTCCAGTTACCGATAACCGGAGATGAAAACATTTCGTAAACTATTAAACCGCTGCAGTCAGAACCTGTGTGCGCCTAACGGATACCTGCATATCCTCAGGCTGAGAACAGCGCTCATGTGTGTAGGAGACACGCGTGCCCTCTCAGAGAACAGCGTTCATGTGTGTAGGAGACACGCGTGCCCTCACAGAGAACAGCATTCATGTGTGTAGGAGACACGCGTGCCCTCACAGAGAACAGCACTCATGTGTGTATGAGACACACGGGTGCCCTCAGAGAACGGTGTTCATGTAAGTAGGAGACACACACGTGCCCTCAGAGAGAACAGTGTTCATGTTGTAGGAGACACACGTGTGCCCTCAGAGAGACCAGTGTTCATGTGTGTAGGAGACACGTGTGCCCTCAGAGACCAGTGTTCATGTGTATAGGAGACACATGGGTGCCCTCAGAGAACAGTGTTCATGTGTGTAGGAGACACACGTGTGCCCTCAGAGAGACCAGTGTTCATGTGTGTAGGAGACACACATGTGCCCTCACAGAGAACAGTGTTCATGTGTGTAGGAGACACGTGTGCCCTCAGAGACCAGTGTTCATGTGTATAGGAGACACATGGGTGCCCTCAGGACACAGAGTTCATGTGTGTAGGAGACACACGTGTGCCCTCAGAGAGACCAGTGTTTCATGTGTGTAGGAGACACGTGTGCCTCAGAGACCGTGTTCATGTGTATAGGAGACACTGGGTGCCCTCAGAGAACAGTGTTCATGTGTGTAGGGAGACACACGTGTGCCCTCAGAGACCAGTGTTCATGTTGTAGGAGACACACATGTGCCCTCACAGGAGACAGTGTTCATGTGTGTAGGAGACACGTGTGCCCTCACAGAGACCAGTGTTCATGTGTATAGGAGACACATGGGTGCCCTCAGAGAACAGTGTTCATGTGTGTAGGAGACACACGTGTGCCCTCAGAGAGACCAGTGTTCATGTGTGTAGGAGACACACATGTGCCCTCACAGAGAACAGTGTTCATGTGTGTAGGAGACACATGGGTGCCCTCACAGAGACCAGTGTTCATGTGTATAGGAGACACATGGGTGCCCTCAGAGAACAGTGTTCATGTGTGTAGGATACACATGTGTGCCCTCACAGAGAACAGTGTTCATGTGTGTAGGAGACACGTGTACCCTCACAGAGAATAGTGTTCATGTGTGTAGGAGACACATGCATGCCCTCAGAGACCAATGTTTGTGTGTGGAGAGACACGCATGCCCTCACAGAGACCAGTGTTCATGTGTGTGGAGACACTCATGTGCCCTCATAGAGAACAGTGTTCGTGTGTGTAGGAGACACGTGTGCCCTCAGAGAACAGTGTTCATGTGTGTAGGAGACACAGGTGCCCTCACAGAAAACAGTGTTCATGTATGTAGGAGACACACACGTGCCCTCAGAGAGACCAGTGTTCATGTGTGTAGGAGACACACGCGTGCCCTCACAGAGACCAGTGTTC